AGCAGAAACGACGACAAGCTCACAACTCTCCGGCGAGTAATCATGGACGACGAACACTGGCTTTACTCCCGAACCAGCACCACTACCCCTACCAATTCAACGGATTCCTCTGCCTTTTCCTCCACGGAAGCGGAGTCATACCGAGCAAAGAGAAGGTCGAGAAAGCTTGCGGATCAAGGTACTAGATCAAGTGACGAGAGTCAGAAAACCAAGAGAACGTCGGTCCTGGATAATGCTAGATTAATCTCCAAGTCGTATGGTGTTAAGAATCTTAAAGCTGTGAAGTTGCTTGAGGAGTTAAAGAGACCGAAGCAGCCTGTGTCTCCTGGAGCACGTCTCACCAGCTTCCTTAACTCAATCTTCCAATCTAACGCCAAGAAAGTGAAGCTTTGCTCTGTCAGTAAGACCACAGAGGTCAAGTCTACTTCCTCAAGATCTTGTTTCAGCCGAACCAGATATACAACCGACAACAACAACTGTAATAACTTGAAAAGATCGGTCAGAGACTATCCCGTTAGAGGAGCCGTCGACGGAGACAGCAGAGACTCTATTTACAATAACATTACTCGCAAGAAAAGACCCATTCCAGAGTTTACTGGAAAGAAGAGTGTCGGAATTAAGGCTAATATTCATCATAATGAGTTGACTTGCATCACAAGAAAAATCAGTTTCAAAAATTCTATAACAAGTTGTAGAGATGAAGATGAAGAAGAGGAGGATGATGTTTGGAGTTACTCAAGCTCGGATCTGTTCGAGCTCGATAGTCACCGGATTGGTATCACTACAAGAAATAGATCCGTTTCCGACGACTATTTCCGTCAGAGAATGGTCGGAAACACTTTTTTCTAATCAATTTCCGACCATGCAAAAGTTGTCGGAAAAGTTTTGTCGAAAAATAAATTTGGTCGGAAAATGGATAGAATATTTTGATCATTTTAGTGGTTGGAATTTCGTCAAAAAATAATCGTCAGAAAATGGTCGAAAAATTTTCAACCATTTTTCGACGAAATTTTGACCTGGTTTTTTGATGACTTTCTAACCATTTTTTTTTGATAAATTTCCGACCACTAAACATTTGATTAGTAATTAGAAATTAAAATTAAAATATATGATAATGATATACGAAAATACAGAAATTATATTAAAATCAAATAACTTAAATTAAAAATTAGTTGTAACATAAAAGTTGAATTCAGAATCATAAGAATAAACATTTCTTAAAATTAAATTAAAAACCAAAATTACACGGAGCTAGTCTTCAGTTTCTTGAAGTACAAAGTTTGGAAATTTGTCGGGCATCAACTTTGTCATGTCTATCAATACTTGATTTTCTTTTTCTTCTCTAGCTTATCATCCACAACTATGCATCTTATTCCTAGTTAGACGAGAAAGAAGCTTACGAAACTGTTCCAAAAAACCATTGACAAGATTCCTTTACATTGAATTTTAAAAGTATTAAAATGACATTAAGAAATTATACCTTAAAGCTAACACCTTTCAAGATATGTTTTTAGCCGAATGATTTGTAGAGACATCTCGACATTCTATAAGAACATCAGAATCATTCTCAAGCTCTCGCTGTTTACGCATACCTCCTCCTGACTTGGAGAGATTCTGCAGATAATAAATCATTACATCATCAAATACTAACCCATATAAAATGAAGAACATTTGATCCAAAACCCAGATAAAGGCAGCATCCTTCCACTTATGATTACTTTGGAGCAGAATTGTAATAATTACATGGAATTTGGTGGCAGGGGCTATGGAACAGCAAAACACTTTCAAACTGATTTCTCCTGT